CTTTGGTTTCCTCCCCCTGCTTTGCGAACCCTGTCGGCTGCTTCATGTACACCGGCCGGTCCATCTCCCCGTTCAGGTACGCCCTGGAGAAATCCCATTGCCGAACATGCATCTTCTGCACTGCAGCGACGGCAAACACCATTCGCACCGACTCCATCCGCGCCACCATTGCCCACTTCACTTCAAAATCCTTCCCCTCAATCATCTCGTCATCACGCGCCACGTACCGCCCCTTGTGCTTCAACACCTTTCCGTCGCCATCCACCTTCACATCGTAGACCCACATCCCATCTATTGCATGTTCCCCCTCCGGTAGGTTCACCAGCCTCCAGACTCCACGAGTTTCCAGCTGATGTACCTCCGCTTGCATTGCAGGCATCCACTTCTCCGGCTCCCGCATTGCCTCGCGGTATGACCGCGGAATCGAGCCCTTTATAGCGCTCGCAAACGCCCACGGAGATGCTAGCATGTCTCCATCGAAGCTGTCCCACTCGACATCCACGGCATTTGCTGTCGGGTGAATACCGTCCAAAGCCCACTCTTCGCCCGCAAGGTGTGCCTGCTCCTCCATTTGATTCGACATTTCCATTTCAAGAATGGCACGAGTCGGCACGGGCGCACGAGCCGAACGGCGTGGTAATGTAGGCACGACAGGAGGCGGAGGTGGCGGAGGAGGCGGCGGTGGATGCCGAGGAGGAGGCATTGGGGGAGGGGCTTGGACGTTAGGTGCGGGAGGTGCTGCTGGCCGAGCATTCGGAGGCTGCGGAGGAGGAGCATTGTCAGTTGCGTCCCTTTCCTCAAAGATACTAGGATCTTGAGGTAGTAACACATCTTCAGGGTCGACGATACGTGTTCTATGAGGTACCCCTTCCTCAAACACGACATCGCGTACCTGGAAGATGCGCCTGCGCTCTGGATCGTACACGCGGTAGCCGCGACGCCCCATATATCCGACCATCTTCCCCTTCCAGCCTTGGTCGCCAAGCTTCCCTTCTCGCCTGTCTAGGTCTTTAACCCAGCAGGTGCTCCCCCACGCACGCAAATGGGACACATTTGGTTTGACGAAGTTTCCTTCGGCGTCCTTCTGACGAAACCAAGCCATCCACGGTATAGCGTCTGGGTGTCGCGAAGAAGGGATGAACCCACGCACATAGCAGTGAGCGGTGGCCGATTCAGCCCAAAACCGGTGGTCCATGCCGCCCTCCATAAGTTGAGTGCGTGTCCCTTCCACCACTGTACGGTTGCCCCGCTCGACATGCCCGTGTGCTGACGACGAAGCTTTAGGTACCTTCTCCACGAAAATACCCCTTCCGGCACAGAATTTGTCGAATATGTTGTTGTCAAATTCTCCACCCAAGTCAATGCGTACACGTTTGAGGCGTTCTTCTGTTTGGACCTCGGCTTCTGTTAGCCAGGTTTTGAATGCGCTCAGGGTGGTCTCCGCGGATTTATTGTTGAGGAAGAGTGGGAACTTGAGGGATGTTCCTCCGTCTGATACCAACATCATGTATACTGCCCCTGACCAACTCGGCGTCCTCGCTCGCCCCCATAGGTCGAGGTGGATGCGCTCCAGAGGTCTCGTTTCATGCACTACCTCGTCGTCGAACGGCATGCGGTCCTGCTTCCCCCGAATGCAGTCCTCACACATCCCACGAAGTTCTGTTTGTACAATCTTCAAGCCGTCGACAAGCGACTTGTCCGCCATGCGCTTAATCGTGCGGACGTCGCCATGTCCGAAACGACGATGCCACGTTTCAAGGTCGGTAGGCTGATTACGGTTGCGTCCTGCTACGGCTGCGGTGACGCTCCCCCCTCCGTCCTTGCTGTCGACAACATCGACCTGGTACAGCTTTCGATGGCCCTCCTCCCGTACGAGTCGTCCATCAACTATTTCTGTTCCATCTCGGCTAAAGACCGATAGTTGCCCATTCCCCCACTTTCCCCAGAACCCTCGCATATCGAGCGTCGGCAGCGAGATCAAGTTCATCGCGAACCCCGGGGTGTGTAGCGCCTCCATGAGAATCTTGCGAACCGATCCGTTGGCCAGGCGAACCTCGAACTCCGCGATCCCCCTCCCTGCGACTTTGAATCCTCCACCCGACTTCACTGCTGTTGACCCTTCTATCTCGATCTTTTGGTATGTCACGAATCGTGCTCGGCTCACAACACAATGTTCAGACGCCCCACTATCAAGGAATGTCAAAATAAGTGACAACTCGTGTTTTGTGTCGGCGGCGTATATTGCGAGCAGGTCTACTACATCGGCTACGGTACGAATAACATGTTCATTCAGAATGGGAGGAGCTGACCCTCCACATCCGAATCTAGAATTCATGTTATCGTCCGCAACCAATGAGTCGAGTTCGGACGCACCATCGCCATTGTTGAGGTGATTGTAACGGCGGTGCCAGGTCTCAAGGTCGGTCCCGAGGGCGTAAACAGCCATGGGCGAGGTGAACGCGGCGGTGGGGGTCGGCGGAGTGGGGTTCGGCGGAGGCAGAGGTGCTGCAGCCGCAGACTGGGGTACGGCTGTGGCGACAGTCGTGCCCCTTGCGGCCTTCGCCGCTCTGGCAGCATCGACGTGCGCCTGGCGTGGCTCTAACCCAGGCGGTGCCTTCCACGAGCTCGGCCCCTGGCCTTCCTTCCCACCTCCTCTCGCCCAACAATTTTCCTTGATATGTCCGCGACGTGCACAATTTCCGCAGTTGACCTGTCCCCCTTTCATGCCGACGTTGGCAGCGAGCGCGCTTGCGACACCGGAGGCCTCCACATCCTTCTTGTAGACAATGTCCCAGTACAGCATGAGGTTCTGGGTGACCTCGTGCGCTGCCGAAAGGGTCTGGAGCGCGATGATGGACTGACCAAACTCGGCAGCCGGGAGCGACTGCAAGATGATGGGAATCATGTCGGTGTCGTGGATGCGGCACCCGACACGGTTCGCCTCGGCACGGAGCTTCGTGAGGTCGTCAATGTGGGCAGGCAAATCACGCCCGTGAGCTAGCTTCAAGGCACGCAAGTTATCCATCGCGATCCCCTTCAAGACTTCCGAGGTGCGATTGAATTTGGTGTTCAGCGCGATCCACATCTGGCGACTGGTGTCTGTAGCGTTGATCCCATGCGCCTTGGGGTCGACGATGTTCTGGTATATGATGGCACCAGCTGTCGCATCGCGGAGGTCCCATTCTTCCGCTGACGGGGTACGGGAGTTAACGGGAGAGGGGTGAGTGCCGTAGAGACCGGGGTATGTGGCTGCGGTGGTGCGGAGAATTGTCCCGTTCGGATAACCGTCGAGACCTTTACCGCGGAAGAGACTGATAGCAGTCTCCTTGAAAGCACCCCAGTTGGCATCAACGAGCTGCTTGTCATCGGCGAGGATGGGGATGGAAGTCATGGACGACATTGGGGTAATTGGGGGGGTAAACGAGGGTATGTGAGTCTTCTGCCGTTCCTGGTCTTGCGACTGATCTTGGACTAATCGCTACTCAGCGTACGCAATTCTGACTGCGAATCTGTAGAGAATACAGTGAGTGATTATCCTCAGTCGCACCAAGTTCTGGTCAAGACTCAGTTAGTTACCTGTAGAGAATACAGTGAGTGATTATCTACAGGTAAAGTAAAGTAAGTGAATATATAAAGATAGAGAAGTTAAATGAGAACGCACCCTCAGTCGCACCAAGTTCTGGTCAAGACTGAGGGTCGTCGTCACGGAACCGCATCACATATATGATGTGGATACGATCAGTAAATAAATAAAGACTCAGAAAGAGATGCTACCGCTGGACGCCATAAAAGGCAACGATCTTCAACACGCAAGGCCGGGAATCGAAATTTGCAGGTAACAGTACGGTAGCGTGTGTACACGTGTTTGGCTGCAGACTCGGACGATTAGTCAGTAGGACGCGCATGTATTCGGCAGATTCCTCCTTGCTTTGATCCACGCACAGCGACATTGCACGATTCCCTGGCGGCACCCGAGAGCATATCCAGAGAGACTAGCCCAACAGGCGCTGGAAACATCGGGTGGAACCGGAGAAAATACATCAGGGGATCAATCAAAAAGGACTGATTTTATCAAAAAGAGATCATTACTGCCAAAAAGTTTTGATAGGGCGCTACAGGACCCACTACCTAAAGTTAGTGGGCATAAAACCCGAAAACACCCTGTTGAATCAATCACCGTGATTCTGTCTCCATTGCTGAGAGGTCTTGATCCCTTCTCTGTGATGAGGCAGGGAATTAAAAAGGAACAAAAAGATTACGAAAATGGAAATCGAACGCATGACTGCCTCGAACGTCAGATTTCAAACAGATTACGCGATCTCAAGATGCGCGACGAGCTTATCAAGGACGATGACGAGAACATCTGCCCGTTCCATCTTGCGGGACCCACAAGTTCTTGCGTTTCGCGTCGCTTTTCACGGCGCCCTCTGCGGTTTGACCAATCAGACACCGTTCGTTCGCTGCCCCCTTCCTGAACTTGTTGCCATTTCGGTCCACCCCGCCGTCAACTTGGTGCATCTGCACAACGACAACGACACGATGGTTCCGGTCAATAAGATCGACGTCGAGCTCTACTAGTGGCCAGTGTGCTCTGGCAGCAACATTTTTTGGTTAGTCACACTTTTTCAATTTGACAGAGAGAGAATCTGGCGGAGGAGCTAACTGCAGATGTTGAAAGCCAAAATTGAACCATGGGAATGGAAGATAAAGATGGCTCCAGCTCAACCTCGCTCTGCCTTCCCTGCGGGTATATTCCATTGCCAGACAGATGATCCAGTGCTCCACATTGCACAACCCAAGTACTTCTGCTACTAGTTCCAACACACCCAACGAAAGTTACAGCTCAAAAACACCACTTCCAGTTATGCATGGAACTATAGTACACAACACCCTTAGCTATGTAACTTGTCAAAAAATGAGCGGTGTTCTTTAACTCTCACCCAAAGTGGGTGGCTTGAAAGTTGTTTGAAAGAAAAAGGCCATTTTAAATGGCAAAACAATTCCGAATAGGGGAATCGAACCCCTGGCTGCCGCGCACATCACGTGACCGCGTACGTAATCCAGATTTAGTGAGAGGCGGCAATGTTAACCACTACACCAATTCGGATTGTAAGCAGGCCTGAACTAGGAGAGGATGTGTAGTCTGACTTGACAGAAGGATGTCGAAAAGACCGCAAAAAAAACGAAAAAAATGCACTAAGTCCACGATTTTGAGTAGGTACAGTTGAATCCCTCACATGGAATGTGGTTGGGACATGCCCAAAGCCCATTCCATATCGCCGTTATTCCATACGACCTTGAGTTTTGGGTGAGAAAGCTGATTTGGTACTTCGAAAAAGCGATTCCATTCAGGTTATAATATTCCATACTAGTCACTACCTGTTGGAGAGGTCCTGGGACTCTCGGGGTCGGAGATAAGTCAACGGGGCTTGCAGCAGGATGGGAGGAAGCAGAGAAAACCCAGATGATGACTAATCCTACAACATGTGAACCTAATACTATCAAACTGAGGCATATGCTGTCAACCACACCACACCGTGAATAAATTCACAGGCTGATATCACCTGTATGCCCATACATTTAGCACATTCTCATTCTTTTCTAACAAGCTCTCTGCTTTGTTAATGAAGGCTGTTACCCAAGCAGCAAAGGTGATTTATCATTCCATAGTAAACAGAATTTTTGTCCTTGCTGGACAAGCTTGTTTTCCCATCACAGGTTGTTTCCTAGTAAAGGATGTTTCTCGGTAAAATACTGTTTGTCCAGTAACACAGTGAAGGTTGTTTCCCCCTACTCACAGCCAATTTTTGAATCAATTCCAGACTCTTGGTCTAGTTGCAACCAAGTCAAGTCGCGTCGCACGGCTGCTCACGTGACTGTGCGCTTATTAGGTGCTTGGTGTACCCATGAATAAATTCACTGACTTGTATGTTGGTTGCATTTGTCACAGATACTTGGTCCATTCCCATTAATTTTCCCTTTGGTTGTTTCCCAGTAAAGCTTGTTTCACGGCAAGTACTCCTGCACAGTAAAGGTTGTTGGATGTCACAGTAAACATGTTTGCCCAGCCAACATCAGGAAAGACCTCCTTTGGCAATAAGGTCAAATTGCCCCAAAAGAGTTGGCAATCTGGCCGAATTCCCTTGCTTGGGTCCATTAGCTTTCTAGTGACGTTCAAAATAAATTAGGGGAAATAAGAACTTAGTTAACTTGTTTTCACAACAATCGGTATGCATCTGACAGGCCAGTAGTTGCTCAATAGTGATAGGATTTAGAACACGACCCGATGTTATTCACGAGCTAGTACATACATGACATCATATGTACAGCTACAGGACAACCACACACAAAGCCACATCGCCCCTGGTTGGACCGGAACTTGGGTAGTATGTGGAGAAGCTCAAATGCGAACAATACCCTGCAAACAATGTATGTTAGTATACAGTTGGCAACGGAAAATAGCACATACATTAACATCAGCCTGATATGTCCTACTCAGCCAAATAAAACGTAGTAGAGGGACGCAGAAGGGATGTGTACTGCTCACCATAGTTAGTATCGGCAATAGCTCCGACTGCTGTGTGAGACAAGTAAGGAAAGACCCAACTGAAAGAGAGAGAGACACGTACCAAGAAGATTGCAGTGACGTGTGCACAGACGACAACGCGCTCGACCTCAATCAGTTCGGACGACTATGATGAGGGTTCAACGAAAAGTTAGCGGTGGGGACATGAGAGGAAGGAGGGTGCGCACCGTCGCCGATTAGGTATGCGAGCCCCGTCGGTGGGAACTCATACTATCGGACTTGAGCGATGAGGACGATATGGCGACATCAGTCACGCGGCGGGTGGGGGCATGGCCACAGATGCGGTGTCAGTCAAACTGCCGATGTCCTGAAGAGCGCTATGTGCGCCCAATAGGAGTTCAGGAGAGATACAGATGAAGGGAAGTACACACACCTCTTGTCCCAACTAATGCGGTCCATAGCCAAGGGTAGTTTCCTATTTCCTAGCCCGGGAAAGAAGGATTGCAATGGGGAAACTCAGGTCCACGCTAATCCTCGGGAACGCCAGGTCGATGCCTGTGCAATACGTGTGAGTGAGCTGTGCGGGAAATGGAGATGGGAAATACCTACAACCAGGCTATCCGAAGACACAGAGGTGCAGGGGTATGGTTAGAGACCACTGGGGAGGGGAAGAAGGTATGGAAGAGCCCATGGATCGATAGTGGCAAGTGAGCTGGCGAGCGACAAAGTGGGGGAAAGAGAAGAGTCTATGTTGACAGGTGTTGCTCCCGCTGTCCGTTTACGGACTCGAACCACTTTTCATGGCACGTGCACGCTGTGCCTGGGCTGTGCTGATTTAGGGCCGGTGTTCCGGCAACGGACTTATAGACTATTTTCGATTCTCTTCTCAACTGAATTTCAAGATGTTCCTCTGTGCAGACTCTGTATACAAAAGTAACTCACTAGTGCTATGTGATACGATTCCCTCCCTTCTGATCCTCAAAAAAGCAATATTATAAATGTTGTCCGAGACCAACTCCGGAAATCCAGGTAATTTGGCCGCTTTCCACCATTTTGTCGCAATCTGAAGGCCAGAACTAAATTACTACTAAATTAGGAAAGGAGGTTTTTTCCTGATGAAGGTTGTTTCACGATAAAGGCTGTCTCACAGTACCTTGCTAAGTACAATAGAACTTATGTGTTGTCGCATGTCCGAGATGCCTATGGGTGGGCGCTTATTAGGTGCTCGGTGTTGGCGGCGAGAGTGGGAAAATGGAACATCAGAAAGTTCTATAGCTTTGCCATTATATTATAGACGACCTACTCTAGCCTACTCTACTGTAACGAGGAAGTTGTGGAGGCTGAGCCGTGATCGGTTTTACTTGATAACTGAAGGTAGGGCGGGATAGAAAGAAACGCAGAAAGGATGAGAGAATGGAAGAGCGCGCCTCAGTATACAGTCGAAGCTGTCTTAACCCATACCCCTCGGTGGACACCAAAAGGTATGGGTTATCACAGTGTATGGGTTTCAAGAGCCCTGGGAATGCTATCGGCAAAACCCGGGCACATCCGAGAAGCCCGTTGCGGGGCAAAAATAATCGCAAAACTATCCCTATATGCCCATGACCATGCTATTTACACTGAATTAATCTATTGAGACCTTTTTCACCCGACTGAATGCGTACCTCCGACGAGGAAACCCTTATATTCCATTTTGGAAAGTCAATCATTTTAGTTGAAATGTCCCTCTCGGCAACCCAGCACATTCCCTGCCAATTCTGGGACATAATTTTGACCAGATGAGCCAATAATTGCCGTGGAAATGCCCTGTAATTACATCAAAAGTATGGTTATGCCCTAAAAAATGTATGGGATATGGAGTATCACAGATTTATGGTTTTTTTTAGCTTTTTGGGTAGGAACGTGGCACCTTGGAGGATGCAAAAAATTATGGGGTTTCACAGATTATGGGTTATGACAACTATGGGTTAAGACAGCTTTGACTGTACATACTTGCTTGATAACGTGTTTACGGCTCTCAAATCTCGTCCCATAGTAATCGTACTGTACTTGTTATAGACTTGGCTGCTATCCGCCATCCGTCTTAGCGGGTGATCTTTCAAAGCAACATAGCCCGTGGGTACTACACTGATATCGAGGCGACTCTAACCCTTGGGCATGATACCCTTCCATTTTTCAATGGCTCCACTTTCGATGGCCACTGCTCAATTCCGAATTGGTGTCGTGGTTGAAATTGATGTTGTCTCCGGACTTCGGACTTGTGGCGGTGAAATTGACCGATGCGATCAATCCGTTGCCCCTGTCTTTCTCATCCATGCCCGAGTTCTACCCCAGGCCCGACCCGCCTTTGGATCTATCTGACCGTAAAGTTGTTGCTGAATACCACCGCAAACTGGAGGCGGACCGACGCTTGGCGCAGCTCTATGGACTGACCGCGGGTCTGTGCTTCAGTTTCGACTTGACCATCCCTGCACCCAATCCTCTTCCACGTGCTCGGAGTCCTCCGCGTTTCCCTCCCAAAGAACCCGTATCATTTTACCTCGACCAATCCCTGCAATCCGGACCCGATAAACACTCTCAAGTATGGACAGCCGTTACAGAGTTGGCTGGGGCGCGGACCACTGTTGTCCTCAAAATTATTCAGCCCTCGATGTGCATGTATCCAGAGCTCAACGATGTCTGGGATAGAAACTACGAGTTTCCGGAGAACCTAGCGCACGAAGAAGCTTGGGTGTACGACCGACTGGCTACTAAACAAGGCCTATATATCCCCTACTTCTTCGGGCTCCAGACTGTGTGTTACTTGATTTGAAGTTCCTGCGGACCTCTCATCCGCCAACATGTAGATTATTACGCCGTCAGGCGAGGCTGCATGGGTTCTGGTCCTTGAATACATCCACGGCGAAGATTTCATTGCGTATATTCGATCGCCCACAAGATCGTTTTCGGATACCTGCGACCTGGTACGCCACGTATCCACGCCTCTGTAAACTTACTCCTCACGACTTTTCGCAGCTGAGGCTCTCCATCGATACCCTCACGGAGTTTATGGCCGACGGATGGTGTCACAACGACGCGAATCCCCGCAATATCATCGTCACAGGCTCACCTGGTGCTCGCAGCGTCGTATTCATCGACCTGTATTTCACGTGTCGCTTTAGCCCAGAAGACCTGACAGTGGAGCGTCGTCGGCGCCGACGAAAATTGTATTGTGCGATCCACGAGGCGTTGAAGGACCAAACCGGAGAAATTCAACGCTGGGCCGTCCAAAATATCGATTTAGAGGTTTGCGATCCCATACAGCTTCAGCGCCTGCAAAGTGGCCCTTAGTTTGTCGAGGGCTTTGACTGTTCTATTTACAGTAGCATCTGACGGATACCACGATCTTTTGCTGAGCATGGCGATGAACAACCCCACCTAAAATAACCCCCGTACGTTGAAATGCGTTTGATCACACGTACATGCATAATCTCTATAATGTGAACCGTTGGACCTAGTCCTCCCCAGATCTCCCATCCCAATATCCCTCATGAATGATTTTTCGCCTCGGAGCGCAGCTGCCGCGGAAGCAGCAACGAGCA